GTTAACGGTTCTAAAAGTATTGCCACGACTATATGCTACTGAAAAGCATGCAAGTATTCGACAATTGACCTAGAGGTCAAAGTATACTGCAAGATGATTTTTAAAATTACAGTTCAAGGAGAAATGTCATAGGAAATTTGAGAAAGTCCTTTAAGAAGGAATAGCGTTGAACAGATCTGTTTCAGGACGGACATCGAATAATTTTCATGAGTATGGGCTAAAATATTAATTAGAACCCTGGGAGAGTAATACAACTGATGACGTTTTCAAAATGCAACAGGAGAATATGAAAATGTCAATGTGGGGGATACGTGTCCAGAAAGAGAATGTTCATATTCAAAATTGAAAAGTTATTGATAGAGCTATGTATTATTCCGTCCCAACTGGTTACGTAAGTAAAGTGTCGTAAATATTAAAGTGTCCTTAATTTCAAGTTCAGATCGGTATATACAATCGCCGTGGTTTACTAAATCCTATCTTGAACAGCAAGCCGTCCATCACCTGACAATGATACTGAGTGACTTGGAAAGATATTTGTAGACAGACCTAACCAGCTCTTAAAACTTTAGCCTCATATAAAAACAAAAACAAGCTGACCAGAAGAGGGGAACATTTTGTTCCCATACCAATTCATACATTGTGCTTGAAAATCTTATCACCATACTTCAAAAGAGCAATTCAGATCTTCATTCTCAGGAATGAACATTTCCTTGAACTCCTCCGCCCCCCCCCNAAATATAGACCATAAAAATTAAATCACCTTTCTTGAATTCTTGAAAAAGGAAGATCTCATAACAGGAGAACGAAAGTGTGCTTGGAACGAAGCTTACTACTGAACAAATGGAAATGTTAAAGACTACCACAGGTTTGTTTAAAAATCCTAATATGATTTATTCCACAAAGACATAGGTACACCGTAAATATCGCTCGGACTGTTTGAGACTGTAAACTTACAAATTACCAATATGTCTTAGTATCAGTTATAAACTACACAAACACACACAAACATGTAAGCCGTTTGTATAAGCAAATTTGCATGAAAAATAATAAAGATCACTCATCAATCACCTACCTATGATGTGGAAATGCCCCTACTTGTGATATGGAAGTGCCCCAACCTGTGATGTGGTAGTGTACCTGTGATGTGGAAGTGTTCCTACCTGTGATGTGGAAGTGTCCCTACCTGTGATGTGGAAGTGCCCCTACCTGTGATGTGGAAGTGACCCTACCTGTTATGTGGAAGTGTCCTTACCTGTAATGTGGAAGACCGACTTGAATCCCAGACCAAATCTGCCCACTTTGAGAGTGTCTTCTCGCTTGCCACTGTTATAGATGCTTTTGATGTATTTCCAGTCCTGTTTACTGAACAGCCCGTTGTTATAGACACACAGCGCAGGCGCCTGGAAGGACCGTAACGGAAATTTACAGAAAAATATATAACTAGTATCTCAATTAAAAAATATGAATAGAAACTTATGTTTTGTGTTATACTTAGGATAATTTCAAAGAATGATTTAATTGTTTTAATGTAAGTATGTAGCATCTTTACTGTTTTCATCGTGAAATGAAATACATTTTGGCCTAAATTTACCCTGAAATAATCCGAATAACAGTTTTTTCCTTGTGATGTCTCGGCGTCACCATTCACATAAACAATCTTCATCTCCGAGGCATTGGCGTCATCTGCGTTTTGAACTAGTTCCTGTAATAGAAGGCAACCACGTTTTTCTCCTGACTTCTTTTGTTTGTATAACCTCAGGTTGTAATTGTTTCGATAAGTCTTTATAGTTGTTAGAGTAACCTCCCTTAGGTATAATTAACATAATACTTCTAGAAGAGTAGTACCAATCAAATCACTTCGCCCTTTTCCGTCGTATGCTCGAAAAGATTCTGGGAGGTAATTTTATGGATACTGCTCGAATGAAGCAGTTTTCTCAAATTAACAAGGCTTTGAAAAATCCAAGAAACAAACTTTTCATCCAAGATTTATCACTTAGATAAAAAGGGGTGGGGGGATTTAACAATAAGCATATTAAAAAAGGAGATTTTGTTTTTTATAATACGGTAGCTTCCCATACTTACGCTATCAGGGTACTTGTAAGAGTTACTGCCCTTACCTACGACATGATACTTGTCCTTACTTACGATAAACATTGAACTTGTATATGTAATAGTTACTGCCCTTACTTACTATATACAATGTACATAGTACTTGTACATGTAAGAGTAACTTCCCTTACTTTCGATATACATCGTACTTGTAAGAGGTATTGCTCTTAGTGACAATACGACATTTAACGTGTTAGAGTTTTGCCTTGGCTTAAGAATACTCCACACCAAGTAGCATTTCATAGAAAACATGCCGACGGACGACGAACAGATATACAATGTAGCCATGGCAAACGTTTGGCTATAGGATAATTGCCAGTTCCAAGGGATTCGCTCTCTTACGTTTTAGGCAACCCTGGAATACATTATGACAAAATCGATGGCTCTGTATTCGCCACCTTTTAAATAATACAATAGAGCTAGCGATGCACATTAAAACAATCGCTCGGCAGCATAGCGGTGAAATAGACCTGATCTGTGGTAGCACATTTGAAAGCATTCAAATATTTAATCACATGCCTTCTATGGCAGGGATGCTGAGCAAAGAAGAGAGCGTATCCTTTGGATAACAAGGATACAGAGCGATATAAAATATGCCTAAAGGCCAGACAACATATATATAGATAGCCAGTGATTATTTTGCGAAAGCGACCAGTGAATAAATCTTTAAGGAGTAAGTCAGTGAACATTGTTCTTTTTGAATTGTATTGATCCGTTTTAATTTTGGCCGAGGTTTTTTCTAGATATGTATACTTATAGAGAAGTGACAAACAATAAGTTCACGTCGCCTCTTACCCGAATGATTTGAGCGTCTTGGTAGCTATCAAGTATGGTCTTTAATTGTTCCAGGAGAGTCGGCCGGTCCATTGAACACTCTGAATCTGTTGAATCGCCATCCCCATCTGTATAATAAAATAATGTCCTTATGATCCATCCAATTTATATTTATTACCCTATAACAATAGATAGAATATGTAATCCCTTTGGATACTAGATATGTAACATTGGTATGGTAAAACGATCACATTGCCAAGCACCAGTGAAAGTATTAGAATATTTTGCCACACGAGGTGATCGAAATACCAAGTGTCCTGAATTTACTTTTTTAATAAAGAGTACTCTTAACATTTGGCCTTCGATATTTGCTATGTACAGATACAAAAGTACGGTACATTTATCGGTTATGAGCATAAGAAGGTCCCACCCTATAATCGACTGTGATAGAAAAATAACGTTTTCTCTATGACTACCCATCGTCAATTTGTTTAATATGTAGCGGGACTGGATTTGGACGATCGTCGGCGATCTGGTAGTTAACTGTTAGAGCGTGCGTCAACCCTTTCAAGCATATGGAGTACGCATGGCAAGTAGTAACCCGAACATGAGTTGTAAATAGTTGTGCCTTCAGGGGCGAAGATTTAGAAAAGGGAGCAAGGATTATAGCGGAACTGGAATGGGTCGATCGTCGGCGACTAGGTAGCTCAATTAGTAAAGCGTCCGTATAGAGTTTGGAGGGTCCCGGGTTCGAACCCCGGTCTGGTCGTGCATTTGTCCATATCCTGTTACAAATACAACCTGGTTTGTCGTTTACGCCATAGGACAGCAATTCGTTTTTAGAATGTAAAATCAAACCATTTTGTTAGAACTCAATACAAATTCAGGTTCACTTTTCTTTTAAACCCTACGTTTCATACCTATAGGAGCTGATTGAACATTGACGTCATTGCCGCATGCCCCATCAGCAGGAATTGCCGAGGTGTTTTCCGGAAGGAGATTCTCCGGTGGACCGCCTGATTTCAGCGCTTCCGTTTTCTTTTTCTTACGCACCATATCAGGAGAATGTTTGTGTTTTCTCTTGTGTTTAGAATCGGAAGATCCAGGCGGATTTTCCTCGTCGTCCTCACGATCTAAAACAAGTAAACAAAGATTTCTAGTAAATTGTTATATCACATAATGTACAGTCTTATCCAGTGAATATACCCATGAAAAACATCTCAAAGTTAAGGAGAATCTCAAGCAATGTATTGTCTATCGGAAATCTTAGACTTGAGGAAACTCAAGAGTTGAGATGTTTATACAAGTGGCCATATTTGTTTGCGTATTAACCCATGTAATATACCTATCGGCCATGTGATTGGTTGCAAGAGTTTCAATTGTTTCAATTGTGACGTTACGCCTAGGACATGTACTTGGCGTCACAGACTAACGCACTGGAGTCAAAATGGCGGCTGTTTACATTTCAAGGTTTCATGAAGATTGTCATTTTACACGAATAAATGCAACAAATTCTTATTATGTGATACAAAGGGTCTTACATTCGTTTTCATTTCAAATGAAATATATAAAACTGTCACGAATATTTCATTTTAGCTCGCCAGAGGCTCACTAAATTGAAAAAATTCTTAAGACTCGTTTCATAAATCTCATATGAAACGGTAACTCATATAAGATCCTATATATATCATCATTGTAATAGATGCATATATTGAGTTCTATAGTATTACAACATTGTAACAGAAATACCACAAATAATTTTATGAAAACAGTGCTGAATTCGAACTTAAATTTAATCTCTGATTATATTTGTTATTCATTGTATTTTAAACTACAAACTTTTACATTTTCATTGAATTTATTCCACGGAGGTATATTTCGATATTCCGGAACTGCTTTGTGTAAATTGTTTACAGCATGGAGTCTCTTAAAAGTGTGTAGATTAAGATCAGTTACTGTAACGCAGCTTTTCCTTTGAAGCTGTCACGCACAATTCGTTTGAATCATTGTTGTCAGATTAACTTATGCATTGACTATGTTCATTGTAAACCATAGACCTTTTATTTTAATGATATTATATAACAGAATGAACTGGTCTAACCAGGTCGGACAATGTTTTCAGTCTCAGACAAAGGACAGCTTAGTTGGCCTACATGATCGGGTACGGCCTCCAATATCAAAGGACGACTGCTATGAATGACAGCTGTCACTCTAGCTAATTACTGTTCATTTATTTGTTAATGTACTTGACGACATGGTGATGCTTTGAAACATCAGTTGGGACCTAGGCCTCAGACTGTACGGGTGTGATTTCGGATATTCTGGAAATCATCCACCGACCTAGAGAAAGTTATTGTAAAAGAAATGTATTTGGACC